TGTAGTACAGAAAGTCAGAACTTTTAGTTTACACTGGGTTTTATTCTGTAGTACAGAAAGTCAGAACTTTTAGTTTACACTGGGTTTTATTCTGTAGTACAGAAAGTCAGAACTTTTAGTTAACACTGGGTTTTATTCTGTAGTACAGAAAGTCAGAACTTTTAGTTAACACTGGGTTTTATTCTGTAGTACAGAAAGTCAGAACTTTTAGTTAACACTGGGTTTTATTCTGTAGTACAGAAAGTCAGAACTTTTAGTTAACACTGGGTTTTATTCTGTAGTACAGAAAGTCAGAACTAAGTCAGAACTTTTAGTTTACACTGGGTTTTATTCTGTAGTACAGAAAGTCAGAACTTTTAGTTTACACTGGGTTTTATTCTGTAGTACAGAAAGTCAGAACTTTTAGTTTACACTGGGTTTTATTCATCTATTTTCATTGTCCATGTGATGAATTATGCTGAATAAATCACTGTAAATTCAAAATTATTGCGAGGTTTTTATTAATGTGAATAATGTGACTGGTTGAGTATCACAATAACAAGTATTCGCATTCTGAATTCAATACATATACTTGTATATCTGTATGCAGATTTTCCTGAAATCGCAATAATTTAAGTCTCACCTTTTTGTCTATTCCTAAAAAATCGCATTAATAAATGCACACAATAATTGCTGAATTTACAGTATAAAATAATGTTTGAGATTTAATTCTTGTAATTTTGATAACAACTGTCTACAATAGGGATGTTTCAGTTTAAACCTTCACCTGAAAAGTTCCTCAATTATGCCATACCATCATTCGCCAGAAAGAGGGACATGCCTGTATCCCTGCACCATTATATATATTAAAGTTCATCAAGAGTCTTTAGGATAATCATTCTGTAGGATAATTTTAAAATAATTTTTATTCCAATGGTACAGAATCACATGATTTCCTAACGACTGCAGTGTTGATTATTAAATTTATAAGAACTTACGAATATTTGTTTGAATATTTCGTGCAATATAGAATCAATTTTTTTCAACATGGATTTTGAAATGACAATGCCCCTAGCATGAATAAAGTTTGATGAAACCAAAATTTTTGACAGAATAGCAACAATCTTAAAAATGGTCTATAGGGTCACTTGCAGCAAAGGCTACATTGTCATTTGTAACATGTTTGTCTCTGAAAATTGTGGGGGGAGGGTGGTATTTTTTCTGTCCTTTATAAACAAAGTTCATGTAGGTGTATTCTTACTTGATTTGGGAATTTTTCGGTAAAAAAAAGTCACCTAGTCAGAAACAGCCAACCAGAATAATCCTTGTCTCAGAAATATTAGACATATGAAAAAGGCAACATATTGCACACCTTTGCAACACTCAAATATAAATGTCAAACAATTTATTTTAAAAAATGGTTGAAACAGAATGGAATAAAAAAACATGTTAAAATCTCCTTCAGACATGTCATACTTAAATGTATCAGTTACAAAATGGAGAAAGGGGAACAGATGGACAACAGTACATGTACATGCATGTTTATAACAAAAAGGTACATTGTACATCTGTTGTTGACATACTTGTGAAAATTTGTTATAAGAAGACATACATATACTTATGAAAATAAATTTGAAAAAATTTCGCCAGTCAACCATAATTTTTTAAAACAGATGTGACTGCAAACACTCCTATATAGATTTTAATATATGTACATGATGTACATATTGTTCTTTGGCTTTAAGCTGGTTTTCGCATTTCTAAGCAAAACGAAAGTACAAATCAATGTGATAATTACATGTATTATTATCATGGTTTGGTGGCAAATACCACCCCCTTTATTCATCCGAATACTGCTGGTATTTACTGGTATTTACCACTAAGTAATTGACTTTAACACTTTCATTTTTTCATTGATAACAGTTATTGAACAGGTAAGGGTGGGTTTTTATATCAATGCCAACTCCAAATTTCAATTGATCATTAATTATGTACCAGTATATTCTTGTGTTTTAACTACCTGCATGGTGACAGGTCACAACCTTGATCATTGTCCTTCTGAAGTTCATATAGACTGGAACTTTTCACATTTGAAGGTTCAGTACTTTTCAAATTATCATCTATGAACATCTTTTATACAAATTCCACAAAATAGGCAGTACTACTTATCAGTAATGTAAAATTGTAAAAATACACTGAAAAACCTACAAAGGTACACAAAAATCACATGAAACAATTGCCTGAAGAATTTAATTTGCTCCTATGAAAAGTAAGATTTACATTTTCTAATCCAGACTACATCTACATGTGTCATGTCTATACAACTGGTTCAAATGAATACAATGATGTATTGTTCTTTTGAGTTAAAACATTTTATTCACAAGATATCACATAGTATTTAATGAAAAAATATTGAAGTCACTTTTCAATTCTTTTTCACCTTTCCTTTATTTTATCACAAGTTATAAAGGGCAATTTACGCTTTTTCTAGATGGTAAACGCTAAAAATCCCACAACCCCATTATACAAGTTCCAATGGTCAACATAATCTCAGACTTACATGTAACATCTGAGCTGCCTCGGATAGAAATTGCCCTTATGCAAGTGCACATATACATGTATAAGACTCTGATTGCTTTTGGAACATTCAAATATGAAATAAAAGATGAATGTTGGTCTTTATAGGGTTCTTACAACAACTCAATTTTCAAACAGTTATAGACTTTCCGTAGATATTTTTCATCCCGAAATAGGTTAACAGATGTATTGATATTCATTTGCATAAGGTCGATTTCTATCCGACGCAGTTCATATATTGTGTAGAAACCTGTCTTGTGTTGACTATAATGTTGAATATCACATATATTTTGGTCCTTTGTTGTTGGGTGTCTGTCTTATTGACAAAAGCAGAGTTCTTGAAAACCTTTACTTCTATTGAGGTCCTTGAAGAAAATCTGCTGGTCCTTACTATTATTTCTATTGCAAAATAACAAAATTGTGTCTGTCCTCTGAACATTTGGTGGTCAAAACCTTCAGACCCCCCCCCCCCCCCCCCCCCCCCCCCCCAACTCTTTTTTGAGAACTCTGCTAAATTCCCCCACATCAATTCTCATTAAAGACTGCCAAATGATAAATATTTTCTATGCACGTTCCTATTGTCTATATATGTTGTTCGTAAATTTAATGGGTCAGTACGCTAGAATTTTTTTTATTTAGCCTCATCAGGCACATTCAGTTTCGCTCTACCATGTCTACAGAACTTTTTCTTAAACCCCTTACAGGAACTTCTTGAAAAAAAACATGTTTGTCATTTTATTTTGATCTATATTGTGATATAAACTATTTCAAACTTTTAACATGTCAAAAATAAAAAACTCATACATACATGTACATGTACAGTATATATTCTATTTTTTTCCCTTTAAAATATCTCATTCTGAAAGAATAGTGCCCTGTACGTTGCTTAGAAAATAACATCAAATTGGTGAAAAAGTTAACATGTAGTCCAGTATAATACATGTACATACAGCAAATATTTTTAACCTATCAATCATTTCAACTCTTTAAATGTATATTTATGTCTCTTGCATGAAAGGAAAATACATGCATGTGTACTGACGTGTACATACATTTTTTTGTACATGTATATGTACAATGTACATAGTCACCATGTCATTGTGTATAAAAATGTATGCATACATTTTTTTCTTTTTTTTACATGTATGTAACATGTATAAGAGTGGTTTCACAGACAATGTAAATATTTTTAACATACATATCAATCATTTTGATCTCTTTAAATGTATTTATATTTATATCACTTGCATGAAAGGAAAATACATGTATGATGTATGTGTACTGACGCATAGGCGGATCCAGGGGGGGGGCCCTGGGGGGAAAAATTTGGTTGATTATATAGGGAATCACTGAAGCGCGACTGGAGCAAACCCCCCCCCCCCCCCCCCCTTACAAAAAGTTCTGGATCCGCCACTGTGACGTGACATGTATGTACATGCTTTTTCTTTTTTTATGTTACATGTATAAGAGTGGTTTCATACTCAATGCTGTGTGTTAAAGTCTAATGTAACTTCTTGTTTTGTGTTCAACAAACAGGGTTTTGGATTCAGAGGGCATCAGAATCAGAAAAATTCTTGACTATAATACAATATAATTATATATGAAAGTAAGAAGATGTGCTATGATTGCCAATGAGACAACCAACAACTACTGAATTGAAGGCTCTTAACTTTTTTTGGACAGGAACAAAGAGAAAGTGGCAGGGTTAAACATATTTGGGAGTGTTAAACATGGTAAAACTTCACTGTAGCTTGGACAGTTGACAAACTGTATAAATCGGTTGGAAATGGCTTGACTCATCAGATTGGCACAAAACAAAAAACAACTTACATAAATACAAAAGACATAAAATACATAGTACCACGTACACTGTAAAGTTTCATTTTTAATTTATTTAATTTTTACAGTACATGTATATATGGCACTGTATAATGAAATTTCACTTTCTCAATTTTACTTTTTGGATAATTTTATTATTATGTATTAGACATTTAGAACTGAGGGCAGAAGTCTAATTTTTTTTTTACCGTGTGTTTATTATAGAATTGTCATTTTTTTGCTCTATTATGCTTATTTTTATTTTTTTTGTCACAAACTAATTATGTTTATATACATGTAACATTAAAAGTATTAATTAATCAATTAAATACAATGTATATATGTTAAAAAAACTATTAATAGAATTTTTTTTTTAAATATTATTACTTTTTTATTATCATTTTACAAAACCCTATAAAATTGGCCATAAGATCATGACCTCAGATGACCCCTTTACCAGATAGTTTGTGTATTCAATCTAACCTTGACCTTTTGCGTCTGCATTTTTCTTCAGGTCACGTGCACCTGCTTCGACAGAATATGGGTCAATTAAAAATACGAAAATAAAACATCACAACACTGATTAAATACATAAATGCAAAGGAAAATAATAAACAAATACGTACTGATTAGATTTAGTCTGTTTCTAACTATCCTTTCCCCCTGGTCTTGTTTTTAGGATGAGAAAAGATTCCGTAGGGAGTTGTCGCTTTCCAAATGTAATGCGCATATCATCCGTACTCAATATTGTGTCCTATGTCAGCCAATAATTCCAAAGAAAAAGTGATTGCAAACTCAAATAATAAACAAAGTCACAGAAATAACAGCAACACTTTTGAATTTCGTTCCCCACCCACGCAAAATAAGGTCTTCCTAACCTCTATACATGAGTTTGTAAATAGCCACAGTTTCGTACTCGATTAATTTTAGCGGTAAAAAAAATAAGACAAAAATATCTGTTCATATTTTATGATTACTTCTTTCTTAAATCTTTCGTGCAAAAACGATTCTGCTGAGTTTGACACTCTTGTAACATTTTTTCTCATAATAGATTGAACTGTATCGTTTTTCCCTTTATTGATTATTGAAAAACTGGTAACTAGGAGATAGACTTGCGTATTTTCTGACGTCAAACATACTACGGGACTTTGTAAATATTCTTAAAAAACATATATCCGAAAAAAATAATAATAGCATGACGTCTTTTAAAGTGTTGTTCCATCAATTATTTCAGCATTTGGCTTTTCTACTTAATTTAAGTTCGACCTTGGTCGGGATTCTGAATTTTGGTGACATAAATATCAATGAATATATTTTTATTATTTATATTAAACCAAATCATAGATACATTATATTTTATCGACACATGCTCCTTACAACTGTGTAAACCCGTTGGGTCGACTTGGACAACGTTTCTCGGTGCATTATATTTATATCTGAGCTCAATCCAAGTTTTATGTATCTTATCCAAAGATAGATGGTAAAAGTAAATCTATACAAATCCTTGAACTATTAGGGAGCTACCATTTGATTTTTATGGGGGGGGGGCTAGGATGAAATTTGAAAAAAATAGACAGGACAGGGGATTTTAGTAAAAAAAAAGGCAGGATGAGATTATTTCCAAAAAAAAGGCAGGATAATTTAGTTAAATAAAAAAGTCAGGATAAACTAACAAAAAAGGCAGGACCGAATAGAGTGAAAAATAAAAAGGCAGGACCGAATAGAGGGAAAAATAAAAAGGTAGGACAAAATTTTTCATCCTAGCCCCCCATAAAAACCAAATGGTAGCTCCCTTATAAAGGAATTTCCACACTTTTTATCACACCTTTTTATTCATTGTGTTATGCATGATTGATGCTGGGACATAATGACGTTAGTATAATAGTCACAGATTGATGTTACATAATAAAGAGGGGGTGGACAGGGGGTATTCAATTTCCGCTTCCCTCCCTCTTGATTCCCGCTTCCCTTCCCCTCCATTCCCGCTTCCCTCCTCTCCACTCCCGCTTCCTTGCTCCCCTCAACTCCTGCTCCCCCCTTTAACTTATCATTTCGTCCAGATATGCCTCTTTTGCCACTTCACCGGCACAAGAAAATCTAGAACTGTCAACATACCTCCGTTTCTCCAACCATTACTTGCTGGTGAAGGGGTTGGTCTCGATCCTATCGTCACATGCACACGAGTATCTAGCATACCATATCGGAGGAGTGACAATGACAAGATGCACAGGTATAAAAAAAAATCTAAGTTTAAGGGTTATAACTTTGGGAAAACTCGGTGGACCGGGTCATTCTATCGAAAAAATCTACTAATTTTCATGTGTATCGAAAATACCCTGTCAATGGAGTTGCGATGTCAATATAGATCAAGGTGCACACTGGATAAGCTCAAAATTGGAAAGTCCACTATACGGCTTGTTTTTTCACAATAAACAAGGTACGATCCCCTCCTTACCTTTTAAACTTCTTTTTATTTATTTAACATATTTCTTAACCAATGAGTGAATTATTTTTCTTAACTTTTTCCTGATATAGTTTAAAAAATTGAAAAAACAAAAAAGATATCAGGGGGAAAATGGAGACTTGACATGAAAATATTGAAAGTTTAAAAACTACGAACTTGTTTGCTTTTGAAACTCATCAAGTTTTTATTTCTGTGAGCACAACTTTCTGGTTTTAAAAACTTTAAAATCTGATAATTTGTTGATAAAGTTTAGAATATTTTATTTTGATTATTTCTTACGTTTTCGAGATATTAACAATTCAATTTAGAAAATAAAATTTTCTAAACGCTCGGTTTACGGATGACATAACAGAATACACAAATACACAGATGAAAAAACTTGCCATAAAGTTTGGAACGTGCCAAACAAATATTTAGCTATAGATCGACAGTTCGGGCAGATTTTTTGAGCTATCAACCTATTATCAAATGAAAATTTTTATATTTTCTTATAATTTATTGTTCAAACTTTACAATTAACACCAATAGAAAATAAAGATAATTTTAAAATCTACACGTAATAAAAGAGGGACGAATGATACCAGAGGGACAGTCAAACTCACAGATCGAAAACAAACTGACAACGTCATGGCCAAAAATAAAAAGACAAACAGACAAATAATAGTACAGGTGACACAACATAGAAAACTAAAGACTAAGCAACACGAACCCCACCAATAGTAATAATAGTAATAATCTACTGTACTTACAGATTTATATATACATACATAGATTGATTTTCATATTTCCGAATGTAGAACTGAAAACGTTAAAAAGAAATAACAATTTCATTCCTGACAATTATTTCTGAGAAGATATTGAACTTTGTATTTCGATTTGAAACAAATTTCTTCACAATTTAAGACATAATAATCTACTGTCCTGGCAGATTTGTTTTTACTTTAAAAGTGAAAAGTATTCAATTTCTTGATTCTTTTTATGATTGTGTCTGTAATTTTATAATAATATCAAAATAGTATATACCAGACAATCGTATTAAAGAAATTATTTCATTTATAGTTAAAAGTTGCGTTGTTTATTTCCGCAATTTATACAGAAATTTAACGTAATAGGCTACTGTCCTAGCAGATTTGTTTTTGTGTTAACGAAATAAAAGTCCATAAAATTGTAAATTTTCATAAAGCTTATATTTTAAACTTTCCAATGAACAAAAATTTGCTTACCAGACATTCATTTTGAAGAAGATATTCAACTTTATATTTGGATTTATGAGCGAATTTCAACAAAATTTTTTATGTAAAAGGCTACTGTCATGGCAGATTTTTTACCTTTAAAAGACGAAAAAAAAAATTAAATTATAAACTTTTGAAATGATTATTCCCTAAACTTTATAACAGTACAAAATTTTTATGCCAGAAAGTTGTTTTGGAGAAATTATTTCAATTGTAAACTTTTCTCGGCATTTTCAGCCATATTTTTCTTAACATTTTTGTCCTGACATATTTTTTTTTACTTATAAATTTTTTATTTTCAAAAACTTCACAAAAATGTAAGTAACTATCCTGTTCTTTATCAAACAGTTTAAATTTTAACAATATTTGAGTAAAACGAAAGTTACAGATGAAAACGTATCGAAAATTGTCCTGGTTTTTTAGACCTTCCCGTTGGATACAATACGGTACGGACAATACAGAAAGTCCGGAAACGATCTTTTTCGCATACAATCTTCTGCAAATAATCTCCAAACGCAATAAGATGGTCAAAAAGAATAACAACACCTTTTATCCTGTAAGATTATTTTTGTTTAATACAGCACTGAATCGGTTTCCCTAAGTTCCTCGAATTCTTTGTAATTTTCATAAGCCGCCGACATACTTATAATCTGAGAATACATATCAGCCTCAGTCATACCAAGGGTCATAATTAATATCTTCCATGGTCATTTCCTAGAACTGAGGGATTAAATGATATATCATTACCCTATAATGTGGTTTTATCTTAATTTTACACTCTTTGTACAATTAAGTTGTAATATCCAAAATTTTAAAAGTATGAACAAAAATATATTCTTTAACATGTTTAAAGGTAAACCTTTGCAACCATATGTACCCATTCAAAAGCATTGATCGTCAAAATAAAGTAGGGTTCCAACCCCTCCCCCCCCCCTTTTGGATCCGCCGCTGCGCCAGTATGGACTATAAAGTTATGTTGATATTGAAATTTATTTTGTTGATCTTTATTATGATATTGCAATTTATTTTCCATTCTTTTTTTTTCCAATCAGTCATCTTTATCTATCTATGACCTTTAAAGCATGTATCAGGCCCCAGGACTGCGGTCATAAAAACTTTGAGTACGATTATCGTACTCAGGTACTCAGACTCAAAATTCAATAAATCAAAATATTGGATTTAATGTTTCGATCACACATTTTTGGTCTTTTATTGGGTTTACGTTGCTCAATCTTAAGTCTGCTGTGTAGTGTGTCTTTTTGTTGTGTTTCTTTTCGCTATGCATGGTTTTGTCTGTTATGTCTTCGATTTGTGGTTGATAATTTTTGCTATTTGTAGCTCGATTTCTTGCACAAACACTGTCATGACTTGCCTTGAGTTAGCATTTACCTAACAATACTGATGAAAAAATATTTAACGCTAAATTAATAGTAGTATGAAACCTTTGATTTCTCTTGAAATAAGGTATGAAACTTGTGTTCTATGAAATCTCTGACCCCCCCCCCCCCCAAAGAAAAAAAAATAAAAAATAAATATCAAAAGTAAAGATATAAAGAAATGAAAAAATAGCACACGTTAGGATTCAAACCTATACATTGCTCAATCAGATATAAAAACTTATCTATGTCTGCTTTGAATTGGAGTGTCGAATTATCAAGTCAAAAAGATCAACAAGACCAACCAGTATATAAAATTTGTAATTACATGTTGATAAAATTATTGCTATTGTCGCAACACAATGGTTATTAAGGAAGCTGTAATCTCGCATTGTCATAAAAAAAATTCAGGGCCAAATGACATAAATGCATGTAATGACAGTCGGGTCGAGGGGACGACAAAGCTTGAAAATGCACCGGTTAGTCAAATATAACTACGTTTGAAAATTGTATATGCATGTCCTAGTGAAACGGTGTCGCAAGCTATTGAGAAAAAGTTGGAAATGCAAAGAGTCAAAATACTTTGAAAAAAAAAATGGCGCCCTCCGCCCTCTCCCCCAGAACGGCTATACATGCGAAGCCATTAAAGCTACTTCTAGTCAAGTAACGTTTCTTCTTCTTCTTTTTCCAGGTAACGTCCCGGATTCAAATTTTGAATGTACATGGGTCTTGTTAACACAAAATATGAGCTATGTCGGAATGTTATAAACGGAAGCACGTTTTAATAAAGTCATTCTAGTGCGTGTTCTACTATTACACGGATCTCAGACTAATTTGGTCCGCCCCGTATCCGGTTATTCCACTTGTTTGGTCTGTGAACATTATACAGTGTT